CCCTCCCTCCCTCCCCCCCACACGGTCCGAGTTGAGCCGCCACGGAGAGAAGGCGGGAGCGCCGGAAACGAAAAAGGGGGGAGGGAGGGAAATAGCAATGTAGGGGGGGGCGGCAATTGGGAAGGGGGGGAATGCAAAGGTCGAGTCACTTCCGGAAGCGGTAGAGCACATCCGGCGCCGCTCGCGCCAGGAGTCCTGAGGCCCGGAGTGACGCCGCGGAGGGGCGGAAGTGGCTTCGGCTCCGGGACCCGGTGGAACCTCCGTGGATGTGACGCCACAACGGAAGTGAAGGAGCGTTCTGCTGAGGGCAGAAGCCGAACCTTCCCTTCCGAACGCCCGGCGGGCCCCCGGCTTCCGGAAGGGGCTTCTGGGGAAGTGGGAGGGCGGAACCGCGACAGGTTCATGAATTATGCATCAAGGTACGGGCGGACCTGCGGGTTCTTAAAGACTAGGGTCGCGTCTCCCTTACCTCGGTGGGGGAAGAGGCGACGTAGAAAGTGACCGTTTTTGTTTTTTTATATGGTACTCTCAAGGATGTTTCAATGCTTTGGATACGCGGGTGAGGACTGGATGTGTCCGTTTTCTGAGGTTCCTACTTAGGCCCAGAGAGTAACTAATAACCTCTCCCCAGCCATCAAAATCCCACCCCGCCCCAGCCGGGTTACGCAGTGGCTAGGAGCGTCAGCCTGCGGACCGAAGGCTCCGGGTTCGAATCCGCTCAAGGGCACCTACCTTGGTTGCAGGCTCCTCCCCCGCTCGGGCCCTGCTCAGGGCTCTTGCCGGAGGCAACCAACCCATGACTTTTTCTCACATCATGTTTCTGTCTTTCCCCCCCGTCTTCCACTCTCCCTAAAAACCAATGGGAAAATATCCTCGGGCGAGGATTAACAACAAAAGTCCGATCCCTCCCTGACCACACCCCTTACTCTCTGCTTTGGTCTCTAGGTTCTTTTTGCCCACCTCCGCGTCTCTGTCTTCCCACTCTGCTTCGCTTTTACACAGGGCACTCATCACTACCTGACATTGTATTGTTTCCGTCTCTTCCCACTAGAATATCGGCCTCGTGAGGGCAAGTTCTTTGAGTTGTTTGCTGCTGTATCCTCAGAGCCTGGCATTTACTTAGTGGTCGGTAAACGTTTGTTGCATAAATGAACACTTAATGTGAACTCTTTCAGGAAGCCTTCCCTGATTGCTCCAACCCATAACGGTGCCTTTCTCTGAATTCCTACAGCATTTAGTCTGTACCTTTCGTTGCTGTTTTATCTCTTTCATATACGTGACTCTTCAGCGAGGTTGTCAGCTCTCAGGGAAAAGGAGCTGCTTCACTGAGCACATAGTAAATGCTGAATAGTTATACACCGGTCACCCACAGTTTCGCTTTCCGCTGTTTCTGTTACACTTGGTCAACTGTGGTCCAAAAATATTAAGTGGAAAATTCCAGAAATAAACAATTCATAACTTTTAAATGACATGCCTTTCTCAGTAGCGTGATGAAATCTCCAGCCATCCAGCTGAGTCTGGGACATGACTCATCCCTTTGTCCAGGCTCTCCAAGATGTACATTCTCCTTGCTCTCATTAGTTCCTTAGTAGCCATCTTGGTTGTCATATTGACTCTGGAGGGATTGCAGTGCTTGTGTTCAAGGAACCCTTATTTTATTTAATAGTGGCCCGAAAGCACCAGAGTGGTGGTGCTGGCAACTCAGATATGGCAGTTCAAAAGCCAGGAAGTGATTGCTGTAAGTGAAAAGGTATATATGGCCCAGCCTGCATGGCTCAGTGGTTGAGCGTTGACCTATGAACCTGGAGGTCATGGTTTGATTTTTTAAAAGAAAAAGTAAAAGGTATATATGTATAGGAAAAAAACATATTTTATATATATAATATATATATTTCCGTTCCATCCCCTGGGGGATCTTAGAACTTACCCCCTGCAGATAAGGAAGGACTACTGTATGTTATTTGAGTAAATGAATGCTGCCACTAGCCTGCACCGTGATTCAGCTCTGGATTCAGCTCTATTTTGGCTGAAACAGAATTGAAGTCCCTCCTATTAACAGAAACAGCCCCTTGGTCAGAGAGCAAAATAAGCCCAAAATAACTATAATGCCCATTTTACAAATAATGAAAATAGGAAAGATATAGGTGATTTTTCCCCCCAAGATCACAGCAATGAACTAGAAAAGAACACCTAAAAATAAACACTTAACGTAAATGTTTAAAAATACATGTATCTTTGGCCTGTAATTATTTGTATCTTTTAAAAAAATAAATCTTTATTGTTGAAAGTATTACATATGTTCCCTTTTCCCCCCCATTGACCCCTCCAGCCAGCCCTACCCCCCCACCCCGGAGGTCTTTGGTTGATTACCTCCCACCCACCCCCACCTTCCCTCCCAGATTCTGCACTCTGTTGCTGTTCATATCTTTTTTAAAGTATCTAATATTCTTATCACCTTTCGGGGGGCTGTACTGGCTGTGTTAACCTGGTAGCAACAGCTAGGGCTAGCAACAGTCTTAAGGGCTCAGATGTGACCAGACCCAGTTGCTGAATGAGTTAGAGATTGATGATTTGAGAAATGTTGAATTTGGGGGCTGAGAGAAAAGTGGGAGCAAAATAGTAGTCATCACTGTAAGTCCTGGTTCTCTTCCAGTTCTTTTCCTCTTTACATTAACTGATACTCCCTGGGCCTCAGTGTCTGCAACTGTCAGTCCTGCTCTCGCTCTCGCTCTAAGAAGCAAGTCTTTAAGTTCCTTGAACTCCTCAGAGAGAAGCTTTAGATAGAGAACTGTGGGGTGCAGAGGGAGGAAGGCTGTTAATTTTAGCTTGGGGTTTTCCAGCTGGCACACTGTTACCATCTTGAATCACTTCCACACCCTGAGCTCTGCCTGGGAGATCCCTCCTCCCGGGGGCTTCCCCATTCCTGGTTTGGTCTGAGCCACAATGGTAAGCATTCCAGAAAAATGCTTAAGAGAAGCCTGGCTGAGTCATTTGATGCACAGCTCAGGAGGCAAAGAAAGTACAGTGATGAGAGACCCTGGTCCCAGTAGTGCCTGCGATCCAAGAACCAAAAGGGTAGTATAGTCATTGTTTATGTTCTTCGTCTGTCATTATGCAGTGACTCTCTGCCCTACCACTTACTGGCAGCCTTCTGAGGGCCTCCAAGGTCCCATCGTTTCATTTTCAACTCCATGAGAGAGAAAGGTTAGGATCTGTTCCCTGTGGGCTCAAGACACTTCCTGGTCAGCATGGCAGTGTGACTTAGTTTGGGGTAATTCCTTTAGGACAACTCAGAAGACTAGGATGTCTCCTTTCTCCTCTGTCTCTGCACCTGACTTTCCATAGGGAAGAGAACATTTAGCGAGAGGGAGCAGTTGAGGATTTCCAGTGTTTTTCTGGTGTATTTTAATATATTTAAATTTAGAGAAACAGCAGTCTAATCAGGCAATAATTAATTCCCTCTTCATCAGGGGCCTTCATGTGTGCCTTTTGCATATGGATGAGCCACAGGGTCACACTGTCCCTCTGAAGAGACAGTTGCTGAAGGTGATAGAGCTGAGTGTGCTCTCCGGGCACTTGAGCTCCTTCCCCTCCGTCCTGTGCTTCCCCCTCCCTGCACCTGACAAGGACTAGATTCCTGTGGGGAAAGAAGAGAAAGGTTAATGAGGCTTCCTCTCCCATCCTCCAGGATTCCTCTCTCACTGCCCCCCACCCCTCCCATCAGCGCCTCTTCCTGGACCCTCAGTCCCATCCAGCCATCCTGTCCACCACCTACCCACTGGGATCTCTTCAGGCCCCACTGGGCTGCCTCGGAGCCCTCATCAGCAGCCTATTTGCTTTGTACCTCTGCTGTTAGTTGGTTTATCACTCCTTGGCCCCACTCTGCTTCCCTCTGTCACAATCTTTTTCTTAGGGAGTCTGACATCCTGAATGCACACACTGCTCTGGTCCTGAGAAATGTGCTGCCTCCTCCCCACTAACCTTGGTGCGCCGGATGGACTCAGTCTTACTTCCCTGAGTACACAGTCAAGCTCTCCAACACCTAAAACACACACCTACCAACCCATGTACATTCCTAATTTGAGCTACAAATATAAACACATGTATGCATACACAGCCTGGGGCAGCCCAGATGCCTTTTGGCACATTACAGTCTCCTCTCCTCCCTGGAGCTCCCCATTTCCAGGGAGCAAAAGGGGAACAGATGGGGGTGGGGAGAGAAATGGGACCTGGGTGGTTACCATGGCAACGGAGCCTAGCAACAGCTGAGAGGCTGATGTGTGTGTGGGCTTTTGCAGGGTTGTTATAAGAGCCAAACCTAGAATTGGGGGCTCAGAGGTGACTGATCCCAGCTGGGCAGCTTGGATCCCCTCCCCCAAACACACCCCTTGATTCCACCTCCACACCCTATCAGAGAAAGCAGAGTGGGGAAAGCTAATGCGTTAACTACAGGGCTTCTAATGCTACACAGCTTTTGGGGGGCAGGTTAGGGAGCATGGCTGAAAATAAACCAAGCAGGGCAGCCTCTTTCCCATTGCTCATTTTTCTCTTCTTTCACCTTTCACCCTCCCTCTGTATTATCAGCTCTCTCTTCTTCATTTTCTTGCTTCTCCATTGCCTGTCCTTCTATGTAATTTGCCCTTATTTTGTCTCCTTTCACATGGTCTCTCTTGACCTGCACTGGCAAGTGACAGGCAAGCCATTCTTCCAGTTTCTCTTGCTCTGTCTGCTCCCTTAGTTTCTCTTCCTTCCAGCTAGTTCTAAGTTAAAGCCCTTGAATCCCAACTCCAGGTCAGAGTAGGCCGGTCACATTGGGCTGGAGGGGTTCCCGGGTTCATCCTCTTTCTCCCTCTTGGCCGCCCATCACCTCTCCTCCCGTCCACTCTACAGGGCTCATAAGACAGAATCAGGGAACTCAGGTATCTTGCAAAGGCTTTATTTGAAAATTTTGAAACTTACATCCCACAAGAATTCAAGATTATCACCACAAGAAGAAAGAGATAATACAAAAATATATATCACAGCATAGGAGCCAGGTAAGAGAGGAAGAAGGAAGGTGGGAAAAATTATGAGAAGTAGGGAGAAACCTGGGGGCAGGGGGACAAAAGGAGGGAGAGTGGAAGAACAAAGGAGGGAGGGAAGGAGTGATGTTGGGGAGCCCAAGAAGGGGAGGGATAAATTGGGAGGCAGAGCTCCCAATGGCCTTGAACCAGCTGGCTCCATTCCCTGGCAGCCTCAGTGGAATTAGGGAGGCCCTTCGAGAGGCTGGGAAGTAGAGGACTGGCTCAGGGGGCTCTGAATTCCAGAGAGTGACACACACACAGACAGCCAGGACAGATAAGACAAAGGGACTTAGGAGGAAGGGCAGGGCAAATGGGAGCCCCTTTCGTGGGTAGTGCAGCAGGTGACTCCCCAAAACCCATCTCCCAGACAACAGAACTTAGCAGTGGGGTGGGGGAGAAGTGTGGGGCCTCACTACCCTCATCCTTATGGGAGCCCTCAGGGTATGAGATCACCCATGGAGTGGAATGAGGGAGACAGTGAAACTCATGACCAGGAACAGGATGGGCCATGACAGATGGGGGGCACAAGGAGCCCCCAGCTCACCTCCCACCCACCTCTGGGGCAGCATGCAGGAGCCACAGAAAATAGATCAGTGGGTGTTCATGAGGGAGAATGTAAGCACAACACACAACACAACATGGAGCCAGGAAATGCATGTGAGAGGAATGGTAAAGTCAGCCACTGACCACTGAGTGACTGAGATGAGCATGAAATGTGGGAAGAGAAAATGAAAAATGAGAAACAAGAGAGAGAATGTGGGGGGTCAGCAGAGGGGAGAGAGGGGGATGGGGAGAGGGTGCAGAAGGCTGGCTGCACAAGAGCATGAGTGTGTGCAATGGCCCGTGAGAGTGGAGGTGAGTGTGCAAGGCTTTCATGTGAGTGTGCAAGGGTGGGGAGGGGGCACCAGAAACCAGAGGCCCCACTTAAAGGAGGGTGAGCAGATAGGATTGCCTATAGGGCCAGTGAGTGTTCCAGGGTGGTGTGCCAGGGCAGAAGCCAGGAGCCCTGCAGCCCCAGCTCCCACAGCTGCCCTACCCTCAGTGGGATGGTGGCTATGCCGGCCCCTTGGCCTCCTGCTTGGTGGCACCCCAACATTGATGGGCATCACAGATTCACCAGGGGAATCCTGAGAGGAAGAGGGAAAGGGTGCAGTCAGGAAACAAGGGGTAAGCCGGAATTGAAAGGGGAGTCCAAGACAAAGGGAGTCAAGGCTAAGAGGGCGGAATTGGAGTTAAATGGCAGCATGAGAATAGGACAGAGATCCACAGAGCAGGAGAAGGAAGGGTCCCCTCAGAGAAGAGGGGTCCAGGCTCCTTGGGAAGGGACAGGGACCAGGCTGGGAAGGAGAGCCAGGGGCTCTGGGAGGGCCAGGCCCTTCCTCCTTCCCACCCACCCAGGAGGGAGCACCCCCAACCACAGCTCCAGAGACCTAAACGTCCTCCCCTCCCCACCCTCCATCTTTTTGCCCTGGCCCTCACCGGTTCAACTGGAAGGCTGGAGCCCCTTTGGGCTGGGGCATCCCAGGCCCAAGCCGGGGTCCCCCTCGGGGCTCCTCGTGGTCAGGGGTGGGGGTTGGCGAGTCCCCGAAGGCCCCCAGCACAGTGACCCCAGCTGGGGACAGGTCTGTCAGCGGCTGCTGGCTCTCCTCCTGCCTCAGGGCACCTTGCTGTCCTGAGGGCCTGCGCCGCTTCTGGCTGCGGTCCCAGCTGGTGCACCGGAAGGGAAGAGGTTCTCTCACACACTTAAGAAGCCCCCATCCTGAGCCTGCAGGGTTAATCACCCCCAGCCTCCCTTAGGCACCCCTAAGAACAGCTGGGGAAACGGGCCTTGCACAGAAGAAAAATATCCCAGCTGCACCAAATCTGAAACCAAGTGTCCATAAAACCACTTCTCCTACCCTGCCCGCCCTGGGACGCTGGGATCTACACCATCCCCCCAACCTGGTCCAGATCCACAGAGTTAGTACTTCCTCCCCACCAACAGGTGGAATCCCCCGGAATCGCCTGGGGAGGCGTACCCAGAAAACCATTTCTCTCCTCAGCAAGCACCTTGGCAGGTTTAGTTCTAATTCAAAGCCAGCTAATGACCTGGACACTTTAACGATTCTCTCAGTAACGTGTGAAGGACTGGGTGACCCATTATTAAATGCAGGCCAAGAAAGCTCCAGATTTACTCCCTCCTCCCCAGGTGCCCTAAGAAGGGGCTCTGCAGACTGGGTCACTGTTCTCAGTCTTGGAGGAAACAAGGACAAGGAATGCCCAGCAAAGGCCCTAGTGCACATAATAACCCCCCCACCGCTCCCATTATCCTTGTATGTCCCTGGGAGAAGGAATGTGCCCTGGTTTCTCACTGTCTCCCCCGACCCAAATCCTTAACTACCTTTCCCCAAGGTCTTGCCTTAATCTACCACTCCCTATCCCACCCCCAACAAAATCCTGCCCTTGCTTCTTCCCTCCTTCCAGCCAAACATCCAGTTCCCAACGGCCAACACCCTCATCCCCACAGCTTACCAGAACTTGAAGATGATGCCAGTGGCCACGAGAACAATGATGATGGAGATGGTAATTGTGACATAGAGCTGGGGGTCCACACCTGATTGGGGTGGGAAGAAAGTTTTAGGGGGGCTCAGTGTGGTAGGAGCCACAAGGGAGTGGGGACGGGGCTAGGCTGCAGGTTCAGTAAGCTTGAGGAGGGCTGCCCATGTGAATCCACGTTGCCCAACTCTTTCTAGAGCCCCTCCCCCTTTATTCCGTTCATCAGCTTCACCCAGAGTTTTCAGCTCTTTTCTTCCCAAATCCCCCACTTCCCCAATCCTGTATATATGTGATGAGAGGGGGCTCCAAGGTCAGACAGAACCCTGTTCTCTGTACAGAAACCAGGGGGTGGAACCGTCCATCTGTGCTCTGGCCACACCCCCAAACCACTGGCCCTGGCTCTGCAGTCTCTGAGCTGAGCTGTCACCCTGGGGCTCCTTTCATGGTGTTCCTCTGCATGGAATGCACCCAGTCAAGGTTCAGTTCAAATGTCAATTCTTGGAAGGTGTTCTGATCCCCAGGCAGAGGCCGTCTCTCCCAATCTGCATGATGCTGTAACCACATAGGAACTTCATTTCTTTAATATAACCTTTTTCCTTTCTTTTTTCTTTTGTTAATCCTCACCCTAGGATATTTTTCCATTGATTTTTAGAGAGAGTGGAAGGGAAGGGAAAGGACACGGAGAGAGAAACATCAATGTGAGAGAGACATCCATTGGTTGCCTCCGCATGCCTCGACCAGAGCCAGGAATCTGTGGACCAGAGTCAAGCCCAGGGCCCTTCCGTCTGAGGGTCGATGCTCTAGTCACTGAGCCAAATCGGCTAGGGCTCTCCTCTTTTCTTAAGCAACATGCTGAGCATGCCACTAGTAGAGCACTTATTACACTGACATCCCCAAGTGTTTACACATCTGTCTTCTCCAATGGCCCCGAGCTCCTCCAGGGCTCAGACGCGTCTTCATCTCTGCCTCCTGTGCCAGTGTGGTGCCTGACACATTTGTGGAAGGAGCTAACAGACAAGGCCTCGCTTGCTGCCCTGAGCTTCAACCAGCCTCCCCACCCTCATATCCCTACCGCCCTCTCACACTTCCACTCACCTTCCCCACGACCCCCGAACAAGAATGGCCGCAGGGTGGCAGGTGCTTCTCTAAGGATGATCCCATCTCCATCACCCCGCATGGAGTCTGAGTTGGGGTGTGGGGTAGCCAGCCCATGGGGGGCTGCAAAACCATAGTCCAGGGGCAAAAATCCAGGATTGGCAGAGTTGGGATCCCCCCCATCCTCTCGAGACACTGTAGGGCCCCATACAATAGCCCAGGGATACTGGGATGAGGGTGGCCCCTCTTCAAAGCCTGATGGGGTGGCAGGGGGCGCGGTGCCTGGCAGGACTTGCCGCCTGGATCTTGGAACCCGAGGGGATCGGCTTGGTGGAGGTGCCCGCTCCCACACACAGACATGGCGTGGGGCTGAGGGACCTCCCCGGGCGCATGGGGGACGTGCTGGGGCTGGTGGGGTTCGAGGGGAGGAGGAGGAGCCTTGAGCAGGTGGTGGGAAGGGCAGCAACAGCAGTGGCCAGAGAGGGAGGAGGTGGGACAGCAGCAGCGCAGGCCTACAAAAAGGGAGAAAGAGAGGGTGAGACAGAAGCCCATCTTGGGCCTGTGTGTGGGGAAGACAGGCTCATACCTGTGATCCCCAGCTGCCTCTCTCCAGGTCTCTCTGCAAAAGCAGGCGGGCTTTGGGAAGGTTCAGCCTCATTTCCTATCTTCCCAGGGTCTAGCCCTTAGGATGGAGGGCCCTTGATGGGTCTAGGGAGGAAAGGGCCAAGACCTCAGGGAACGCTCCCTCTGCTGTGCCGAACTTACCACATCCTGGACTCCATGCTCGAGATCTTCCTCAGCTGTGACCCAGATTTTCGGCTTTTACTGGGGAAGAGAAGGGATTGTCACATCCTCACCCTGCCCTGCGTTCTTCCCCAGCTCATTCATCCACCAATTCTACCCACATCTCCCCTCCCATGCTGCTGGCTGCCAGCAAAGCTGCTGCCCCCTCCCCCCCAGGATTCACTGCTGCTGAGCATCCTTTGGGGGGAAAAACTCCCCAAGTGGCTCCCTGTCTAGCTCCCAGCCCCTCTCTACAACCACCCAGGTCGCTGTTATCTCCCCACCCCAGGGCCTATCTCACTTCTCAGGCTTCCTTCTGACTTCCTTGCCCACAGCTCTAAGCTTTTCTTGGATCTTAATTTAGAGTCAAGAACCTTGTGATTCCTTGAGCACCTACCGCTAGGGTAAGAGTCAGGGTGGGGGAGGGTAGAGGAAGTCAATCTGAGTGTGTGAGTGTGTGTGTGGCAAGTGCCCAGCCTGCCCACCCCACCTGTAGTCCCAGGCAATTCTCTTAGGATTGGCCCCAGGAATCTGCATCTTTAGGAGAAGGGGAAGAGGAGATGGAGGGAGGGAAGGAAAGAGGCAGAGAGAGGTGAGTGGGAGAAAAACTACAGAACATACTTTTTGCTCAGTGTTTAATCATACAAATGCATAGATGCCCTCTGACGGGAGGAGCCACCCTTACATGTAGCTCTCCTGGGTGAAGAATCCTGGAAGAGTCAGGGTGGTTGCTTTTGAAAGAGGAAGAACATGTGTTCAGGGTTGAGGGTGCTGGACCCAGGGTGGGCCAGGCTCCCCTAAGTAAATGAGAATATGATACCCTGTGGATTATGGGTCTAAATCCATACTCTCAGTACCCTCAGAGAATAATGGGAATAAGATAAGAAGGTCTGGGGAAGGGAATGGGAAAATGGGCAGAGGGGAGGGATGTGAAGGGGTGAAGGGCCCAGAAGGGAATGGTGGGTTAGGAGCGAGAAGGAAGACGGCATAGAGCACAGAGCAGGGGGAGAGGAGTCCGTCCTGACAGAGAACAGAAGGGGGGCAGGCACAGAGGCTGGAAGCTTGGAGGATGCTGAGGGAGAACAGGATGAGTTAAAGGTCAGGGAGGGAAACAGAGGGTGAGGGGGTCACAGGAGCAGGGGAAGAAGGGGAAAGGGCAGGAAGGGAGAAGGAAAGGTGCAGGCAGGAAGGGAAGGTGGACACCGTGCAAGGGGAAGGGAGAGAGGGGTGGAGAAGAGCAGGGTTGGGGAGAAGGGAAATGGGAAAGGAGGGAGCATAACACCGATGACAAAATAAGAGGAAGGGCTGGGGACCGAAGACAAACAGCAAAGATGGAGGAGTTGGAAATTGCTTCTTCCGATGTAAAGGGATGTGGGGCTATGGGAGGAGACAGGGATAGGGGCATGGTGGGAAGAAGGGAGAGAGGGAGGAGAGAGAAGCAGCAGGAGGGAGGAAGTAAGGAGTGTGGGAGCGAACCAGTGAAGCGGAGAGGGCCCTCAGGGGTCTCTGCGGCCGGCCGACTCGGGACTCACTCACCTCTCCGCCGTATGCATCACCCCCTCCCCACGCCGTCAACTCGGGTCCCAGGACCCTACGCCCCTCCAGCCACCCCTTCCAGGAAGCCCGCAGTCCCCAGGCTGGCGCGCCACCCCCACCCTTTCCTCGCGCCTCGCGGACCTGTTGTGCGCAGGAGACCAGATGGGGGTGGGGCGGGAGCCTGGAGGTGGGGGATCCCGGCCCCATTTCCAGCGTGGCCCCAGCCCACCCCTCTCACAGGCCCGCGCACCCCGCTGGAGAGCAGTGAGAGTTGGGGAGAAAACG